CGGTACTTCCGCTCGGCCGTGGCGATCGTCCGCCGTCGCGATCCGCCGGTAAGAAACTCCGAGGTAAGAAACGGAAACACGGGCGGCGCACGTAAGGAGAGCGAGGGAGAGAAAGAAAAATAAAGAATGCGAAAGAAAAAGCATCTCGTTATCACGCGTTTGAGAAGGAGAGACGTTCGTTCGACCGGCGTATCTACGGCGTGGTAGAGTGGCTGTTTACATCGTGCATCCGGCCTTCTCGTGCTTCTCGCGTATATATACTCGGAATCATACATGGTCTCTCGCGTGTTTACAAGCGTGCCGTGTCATCCGTGTCAGCTGTGCGCGTCGATATCGCGTACGAGTCGATTCGCAGCGCAGAGCGCAGAGCGCAGAGCGCGACGCTACGTGACGCAACGCGACGCGACGCGGCTCACCTCACCTCGCCGTCGAGGTTAGGGTAACTCTCGCGGTCATCACTTGAACGGGTGGTGTGTGTGCCGGTGGTATGGGCTGCGTGCGCGTTTCCTCGCTGCCGGCGCGACGCGCGAGCGGGGGCGCCGTAACAGAAACGCGTGCTGCTCTCTCCGCCTAGTCGCCTGTCCGCGCCAGCCCACTTGCTCGCTCGCTCGCTCGCTCCTGTCGTTCTGTCCTGTCGCCGCTCGCCCGCTTCTGGTGAATTCGTATGGTGAATTATTGATCCGCGGCGGCGTGTGCGTGCGGAAAAACCGCCGTTGGTTGGAAGAGAGAAAGGGTAGAAGGTAGGGGGTAGAGAGAGAGAGAGAGAGAGGGTAGGGGTGACGGAGCTGAAGCCGCGGAGTGGCGCACGGTGGTGGCGCGAGAAAGCGCTTAAAGCGAGTACACGTACGGGGTGAGACGTGCGCTGGTTGGTGTGTTGGTTGTATATTGTTTTGAAAAGTGTCGCGGCGCGCGCGGACGCACGCGACGCATCACGTCACGTCACGTCACGTCACATCACATCGCGTCGCGTCACATCGGATCCGATCGTATCGCATCGCGTCGCGTCGCGTCGCGTCGCCGTGGCCTCAGTCGCGAGACTCGCGAGGCGCCAAGTTGAATCGGAGAGTACACCGCCGAGAGATCGTCCGTCTCTCAGTCTCTAGACGAAGGTATAGAGCGAACGAAGTGTACATCCTGAGTGCGTCGCCTCCTTTGATACGTCCGTAATAACGTAATAACGGTGCCGTACGTCCGTCGCACCGCGAGCGCGTCGGGTTCCTTCGTCTTTCCGTTCCGCGAATTACTCCATCCATCCGTTCATGCGTGCGTAAACGCGAGAACGGGAACGAACGGCGGGAAAAGCGTGCGTGGGTAATGCATGCGAGAGGCGTCGCGGCGCGACGCGCGACGAGGAAGTTATTCAAGGGAAACCGGTGAATACACCGGGTGTGACGCGGAGTGAGACGGGAAGGCCGAAGGAGGGTAAATCCTTTCCGTGATCTTCCGTGCCCCACGACGACGGGACTGTCGGGTGAAATTGCGAAGGACGCGTGAAACGACGTGTAATCCAATCCGGCCCGGGGGGGAGGGATCAGGAGTGTCAAGAGTAAGTGCCCTGTCGTCGTCGGACTACGCCGACGACGACGTAGAAAAGGTGGAGGAGAAGATCAGTGCCGTCGCGCGGAGGAAACTCGAGGGGAAACCCGGCGTCGTTTTGTGTCGTTTTGCCGTATACGATCGCTGCTGAACGCGCTCCGATAATCCCGGAGGAAGGCAACGTCCTATCTTCGCCACCGCGGGGCTTGGATGGATACTGTGCATTATTTCTGGAGTGAGTTTCTCTTTTTATTCACTGTGTATGTGTGGATGCGTGCGTGCGTGCGTGCGTCTATGAGCGAATGCGAATGTCCGTCCCCTCCGTCGGCTCGGCCGTCGACGCGTACGAGCGCGTATGAACGCGAGAGTGTTCCCCGCGTGAAGACGCGATTTTTCTACCGATGGACCTCTCTCTCTCAGCCGGGAAGCAGCGGGACTCCCCCCTCCCCCCCCCGAGTCCTGTTACTCACCGCGCGATCGCACCCGAAGCCCACGGAACAGCTGCGTGCCATCATCGTATCCATTGTTTACGTGTCTCTACTAAGAGACAGGCGCGCACCTGACCGAAACGGCTAAAACACAAGCGTCAGCGCGCGGCGGACTCGCTTACATTTAAGCCTGTCGATGTCTTTTCGAGAAGTTTCAACCTCGCGCGAGGCCTTTAAACCCTCGCTCGACGAAGCTGTTCGGAATTTGTCGGTAAAAAGAAACGAAGGTGAAATTCATCGAGTAAACCCTGACTATATTTGTGTTCCTTTCTAATGCTGTTTTTTTGTTTTTTTTTTTTTTTTTACATCAATCAGAAAATGTAATACTAACCCAGAGAGACGACACGTATCGTCCGGAAGATTTCCTCACGACGTCTTTCATCGCGAATTCGGTTGGACCGGCCACTGGTGTATATTAAAGCCGTTGTACATTGATTTAATTTGTGTAAAAGTCAGATGCGAATATTTCAAATATAGATTTTGCTTAACAGCACAGTAAAATGTATTGAGGATTTCATGATTAAACAACACATTGTTATGTCAATTTGTGTACGATGACTTTAGGGTGACACCTGTGCGTGTTGAATGCAATCCGATCGAATTCGTTATTAGATATCTTTTAGACATGCATGTTCCAAAAGATGTTCTCTCATGATGTCTCTCGGACATGCGTGTTGTCTAAGAAATATTTGCGACGAATTGCGGATTTTTTTTTCAAATATAATTCGCGCGGATGATCAGGGTAATCGAAACGTGTATTCAGGATCGTGCGTTTATGCGTGGAATATAATCTACATCTACGTGTATACAATGTAAACTGTGTTTTGTGTCTCTACGTGAACAATCTATTATGGTCATCGAAGACTACGTTCTTTGTCGTTGCACTGGACTGCACTGAAGTTTTTTTATCTCGCTTTTATCTTGCGTATCTGGTATGATAATCTTGAACTTGCTGAGAGGTTCCTGAAGCACCTTCACCACTTGTCGTATCATCATGAGCGCGCGAAATGTCAGCCTTGCGATTAGAGAATTATAATCGCGAATAATTTGAGAATTATTGTACGACATTTTTCGTATTATAGGATTTTTTCTTGCAATGTTCCAAAGAATCCGTTCTTGAGAAGAAACTCGGTAGTTTTGGGACACCCTGTATATTTTTATTTATCAATATATTGCTAAAGTCAAATGTATATTGACCAGATAATTATAAAAACTTAATTACTTCTTCTTGAATTGTATTATTCAATTTATAATAATTTACGTATTTTAAGACGAGGAAAGTGACTGTAAGAATCTCTGCGGTTGTCAGTGCGTAAATAATATATTCATATAATAAGGCGAAGGCATGCGAGTGACAAACAATTATAATTAAATAGAACGTATATAATGAACAAATCATTTACAAATGTTTCGACTTTGGATTTGAATTCTCTTTAGTGCGGAAGTAAACTACACTGTTTAGTTTATTACTTTATTTCCGCATCGAAGAGGACTCAAATCCAGAGTCGAAACGTTTGTAAACGGTTTTGTTTATTATATACGAACCTAATTATTTGCGAATCGCATTATTTCGCTTTATGTATACATAAATAAAAGGAACATTCAGCCACACGCAGGATGTTTTTTTTATGAACGTCATATATTCTAAAGTTGTACATTAAAAATATAAAATCATAAACGTTTCGACCGTTATTAGGTCATCTTCAATATGTTGTATAATAAAATTAATTATAAATAAATTAAACGATAATTCGTTGTCATATACAATTACGCAAATTGTTAAAATATATAATTTACTTTGTCATAAATATGAAATTTTTTTTTAGTTTTACATAAATAAGTTATTTACGCACTGAGGCGTAAATAACGAATCGCGGAGGCTCTTTTTACAGACGCTTTTTTTGTTTACATTGAATTTATCTTCGAAACCACAAACTGTGTTTGTTTAATTTAATTACATATTTTACACTGAATTATGTACGTGGAAAAAGATTTATATAAATTCAACGTAAACGATACGTAAATATTATTCCGTGTAAACGTGATCTTGAAGTATATGGCACAATTCTGCAGTATTCTGTATCTATCAGTTGCAAGCAAAACGTCGTCGGACGATAAGAAAAGCGGATTATATCTCGAAAGGTACACTTCTTTCGCGAGCAGGTTTTAAGATTAAAACCACGCGCGGATGGACGTCACGTTTCTTTCACCGATCGTATCCGGTCTTATCGAGCGGAGAAAAATCGTTTCCTGAGGATCGATCACGCCAATCTGATTTTACTCTTCGTTTAATCCCATCGCGACGACGACGGCGGCGGCGGCGATTAATTCGCGGAATTATCGCCGCCGTCGCGCTGAGCTCGTTGGAACGTTTTCTTGAACTTTCGCGAGACCTGGCAGGTGGAAAAGGCACGTAATCGTATAATCCGAATCGCGGCGCTAATTTCGCGCGGACGAACGATGAATCTTGGCGCAATCTCCTTCGTCGGAGCGTGACCGGCTGCTAACGAACGTGAAAGGAAAAACATTGGACGACGCTCGTCGGTACGCGGACGTTGGCGACATTATCGCACCGAGTTATCGAAAATAATTTCGTGCGAACGCGCGCCGGTGTGATGGAAGCGTTACATAAATTTAATCCGATAACCCGTCTCGCGTTATCGCAAAGGCGGGAAATCGGGCACGTAGGGACGCCACCAATTTAACGAGCTGCCAATGAATGCTTACTTTAATTCAATCCCTACACCTGCACACGCAGATATCACTTGTTACTTTACGGACACCGGTATACGTCCTCCAGTGATAATCCATAAATTTATCGTGACAATTAATTAAACGCAGAGTATCGGTAGCCGATTCGTAATTTACACGTATCCAACTAATTAGCGCACTGCACTTGACATTTCAGAATTATCTGCGCGGAATATCTTAATCTTTGGATTATTCGTATTTTCTATTCGATAATATTTTTCGTATGTCGACGGAGATCGACTCGTCGAAGGGAAAACGCTGAGCAATCGCTGATTAATTATCCACTGTTATGGAAATATTGCGATACGCTGTAAAATATATGTGTCACTTACAAAAAAAAAAAAAAAAAAACTTTCCGATTGAAGCACCGAACTCGAGTTTTTCTTTTCGAAACGAAATTTCCCTCCGCTCCCGTTTCGGAGTCGTTCGCGTCACGACGGTCTTACTTTCGCGCGCCGTCAAAGTTTGATTGCGAACTCGCAATCAAGAGAATTTCCCTTTGACCCTTTGGCGAATCGGCTGCGAGTTACGTTCTCGTATTTTTGCTTACCTGGGCAAAATTACAGTTCCACGCGTCACATTTAATTTCGCCTGTCTACGGCCATTCGACGCGAGTCGGTGACGATGAATAATGTAACTTAAGATTACCGATACTCGCGCTCGATACGATATTATCCGCGCGATCTATAAATATCGCGTGTCCTTTGTTTACTGTTCGAAGATAAGCGCGACTTGACGATTGTGCAGCACGTATTCGTGTATCGTCGTCGTTTGTCGTCGAACGGCCGGTATCTATGCGTAGTTGATAATTACGGCCCCGATAAGAATCCGTGTTCAATAATCAGCAATTTTCTTCTCCAATAGACGTGATTAGG